AATATTTTAAATTGTATGAAAATAATAAAGATAATAATGAAAAGCCATTTTTTAATAACATTTTTGATAAAAAGCTATTATTAGAGAAAAATATTATTGAGTATAAATAGGGATAAGTAGATAATAGAAAAAGTGAATGGTAATATATTAACACTTTTTTTTAACTTCGCAGGCAAATTTGCCTGCTTTACAGTCAAAGGGATATATATTATTGTTTTATTTTAATAAAATACTTAATAAAAAAATAAATAAATAAAAATAAAATGAAGAACATTTTGGAATCGATATGGATATTAATTTTGCATTAAAAAAGTAATCTTAATATTTTCTATAAATTTGATTAATTTTTTTGTATTATTAATACTATTGTATTTGTTTGTAGATAGACTTTATTAGAAAATTTAAAAGTAAACTAAAAAGAATTAACTAAACGAATTGCAGTATATATAAAGGAATTACTTACTATAATATTTTATTCTGATATGACTGATCCTAAATTAAAATAAATGCTAATAAAATGTATAAAGAAGTTTTGAAAAGAGTAATAAATAGAGAAATTTCTAAATATAGGAGCTTATCAATAGAAAAAGAGGAAATCTAAAAAAAATTAAAAGATTTTTTAGTAAAATAAATTCAGATTTAACATTAATTCAAAAACTTTTTTTTTTTAGATTTTCCTTTCTTTCTATTGACAAACTCTTATATAATATACTGTTACTAAAAAATAAGATGTTCATTTTTTAAATAAGAGATTGAGTTTGTTATGTTACAAACTTTGATGAAATATTCTTGATCGCTGCTGCTACCTGTTGTCAAAGATTATAAATTCATCATGACTTTTCAAGCTGAATCACATAGCGATTCAGTTAAGTATGAAGACTTAATGAAGTGTGATAGAAGTAACACATAAGTGGATTATACAAACATTACAGAAAATAAATAAAAAAATAATTTTGTTTAAACATAAAGATGATGTTTTACTAAAATATTATAATGTTATAAGTGATTGTATAATTATCATTGCTAATTCTTTGCATTACATTCCTTCTAGATTAATTACTTCTCTAGATCACCTGTTTTCTTAATAATCCTAACTTGTCCTATTTATACATTTTGAATTGATCTAAGATTACAGATATATTAGATAATTATTACATAAGGATTGTCTTTAACTATCTAATTATTGCATAATTATTACTACATATTTCATTGCATAGTTACTATATTATGACTATGTAAAAATAACTAATTTCTTAATTATGATTTAATATCTTTTTATAATTATTACGTTTACTTTTAATTTTTAGATATGGCATATTGTGTCATATAATACCAATTTTATTGATCAACATTTCAATTTATGATTACATTTCTATTATGAGATTGTTTGTTATAATTTCTTTAATAATGAATATTAATCATGCTTTTTGTATCACATTTCTGGTCATATGATTTGTTGTATCTTATTTTCACTTGGATAATAATACCAAAAGTATCTATAATTGCAAATTGAATAACGAGTATCTCGTAATCATTTAAAATCTCTATGGCATTACAACTTTTTGAAGAAACAGAACTGCCTAAAATTTCTAAATAAACAGGTTTATATTACTTTTATTATGTAAAAATATTATTTGAAAATTTATTATTTTATTTGACTTATCTTAGAATCTAATATTTGTGTATAATAAAGTTATTAAAAATAAAAGTAAATTTGATTTCTAAAATGATTCTTGTAATTTCTGCCTTTTTTTGTATTAAATCATATGATTTGATATGCAAATAAATATATTTAAACTAAATTTATTATTTAAAAAAGTTGTATAATTTTTAATTATTATTATATAATCTACAAAATTTTACCCCAAATTTGTATAATAAGTTTCTGCAAAACTAGCAATAAAATGAATTCTTAGGTATACAATTTATCAAACATATTCATTATAATAAATTTGCTTTTTGTTTTGTAAATTAAGAAATGATTGCATATAAAAAAATGAAGCAAAAATGTTTTCTATTAGAGTTTGATAATTGTAAAGCAAAAAATTTTATTAGAGCAATTTTAATTCAAAAGATAAGACCTTTACATCTTATTTTCTTGATTCTTTTTTTTAAGTTGCCATTATTTCTGTCTTCACTATTATAACTAAAAGATGGATTTGCAATTACTAGATTGCAATCAGTCGTAGAATCTTAAATATAAGAATTTATATATCAAAATTCACAACTATTGCAATTTTTTAAGTAGTAATCTGGGTTGCAACCAGTTGCAGAATTTTTAAATCAGTTGCATTACCATCTTTAAATTATTATTAAACCTCTAGAATAAGATAACTTTATATGACACAATATGAATTTTCTCACAAAAAGATTTTTTTATTCAAGAAAACGTCTGTTTTAATAGCATTAATAATTAATGTGTTGAAGTTTTCCAGAAATCTGCATTACATGTTACAAAATCTATATATAAACTGTATCACATAATATATTTTACATATATCATATGCAGTTTTGTATCATACAATTAAGAGGTTGCTAGAGAAACTATAGCGTTTTTTACTTGCCAAAATGTCAAAATGCGAAAACTTTGATGAAACTATATTAAAGTCTTATAATTACTTATGTTGAAATGTTAAAACTATGACGAAATGCCAAAATGATGAAACTATCATAGTAAATGCTGAAACTTAAGAAACCATAACTATATTAAACTCATTAAATTTTATCAAAACTAATTGTAGAATTTAAAGAGGTTTAGGCAAGCGTCTTTACATACAATGCAGTTTTGTATTATATGAGCTTTATGACGTGTAGCGAATAGTTTTAATAAATAGACCTTAACTTACACTAACCCTAATCAATGGGGAGTGACAAATAACGAATGACGAATATGAATTCACATCCTAAAAAAAAAACTAAAGTTCCCAAATAATATAATAAAAAATGAAACATAGGGGTATGACGCAAGGTGATGATTATTTATATAACCACATGCTCGAGTTTTTTTATCGGAAGATTGTAACAGGCTGTTACAAATATATTTATTCTCATATAAAATGCTATGATTAACATTTTTTCAATTTACTAGGATAAAATTATAACCCTTTTTTTTAAAATAGATTTTTTTTTTTGAATATTTAAAAATTTATTAAATAATATCTATAATATATATAAACAATATATAAATTTATTCAAATTTAAATTAGAAGGTTGTTTTTCGAGAATTCAGAAAAATTACTAAAAATACAAGAAATTTAGCTCACGATTTAAACTAGTTTACAATGCTAGAACTAGAACAAATGGCTTTAATTGAAATAGAAGTTTCAATAAATTTAATAATTAAGAAAGAAAGTTAGAGCGGAAGATTATCCAGAGAATTTAAGCTTGATTCATGAAGGTTTTATTATTTCCAACTATTAGAAGAACTCGGTTGTCAAAATTACGAATCCAATACTTTTTTTCATTTAGTTGATTAAGAGGATATTTTTATCGGTCATTTAATTTCTGATTAGCATATTGAGATATACAGTATAATAAGCAAAGGATTTGAATAAAAGGCATAAAATTTATGATTCATCGTCAATAAGAAAGAGTATAAATTCCATGGAATGCAATAGAAAACATAAAATCATAGGATGTCTTTACATATGGCAATATTAGAAATTATATAATCTTCTAGCTTATGAACCGCGCAGCCATATTGTTATAGGAACAAATATTGTATTGTATGTATTACGAATTAAGGGGTGCCCAACAGAAAACAATAAAGAATTCTTTTTGGCCTTCGTATAAAAGAATGTATGTCAATTGTGATTGTTGTTGTTTTCAAAACAACTACCGATTATTTGTGTAAAACGTGAGGACTCCGTAAACTAAAAATCTTGTTACACCACCAAATGATTTTTTATTTTTCAGAAATTAAATGTACAAAAGGCGTGCGTGTTGCATATTGCATGTAAACAAAATACACATACATTAAAAATATTTATTCGGATTTTTTTTTTTTTTTTTTTCGAATTATAAACAATCAATTCTGCACGAGTTACGATTCGATAAATTTCAATTTCTAACCCCTGAATGATCAATGAATCAAATCTTTTTTTTTTTTTCGTCATCTTATCTTCATTAGAAAAGCGTTTCATATTTTTTTCGTACACAGGTTTCAAAAACTTTCACAAGGGGAATTAAAAAAAAATCTCTCGTTTCGAACTTTATTTCGAGATCAATGAACAAAGTTATTATAACGTGCCATCAACGCGTTCGTCTTGGCGTACACATTTTTGATTTTTTATTTGGTTACATCGCAGTACCCATGTAACGATGGTTCGTAGATACTATTCTGATTAATTTGCAAAAGGATCCGAACATGTGCAAACTTGATAACAAGTCACTGCATCAAATCTAAATAAATGACTTTGGGCGCAAAAGATAAGTGACTTTCCACAATTTTTCTCCATGATGATGTTGTCATTTGACGATTATTGTGATTATTTGATTAAACTGATCCGTTGGTAATGACCCTTTGTTTTTTTTTGTTGGGGGCTAAAAAAAAAAAAAAAGTAAACGTCGTAGAATACAAAAGAAGGTCGAATGATTTAATTATAAACCAAACAATACACATCCGATCAGATTTCATCCAACAATCTTGTTTGCAAAAAAAAAAAAAAATGCAAAACGAAGTTGTGTGGCGTTTAGTTTATGCACATATCTCGAGATTTTTTTATGTGTAACTTAACCTTGCATAACTTACATTAAACTTTATTTCATGTTTTTTTTATTAAAGAAAAGTCGTGATTTTAACAATGCGATAAATATTTGGTAAATATTTTGTAAATATATATATATATAAAGGAAGGAAATTTTTCTTGATTCAAAATTGTGATTTATCCTTAAATATAGTATTTCGAAAAAAAATTTTATTCAAAAATAAATAAAAAGGAAATCAATTTCTTCACCTGATAAATTAATTAATTCCTTTCAAAAAAAAAAAAATAAGCAAGATGTCCGAAAAGTTTTATTCAACACTCTATACAAAGATCATTCATTTTCCCACAATGGTAACAGGCTCAATATTGAATCTATTTAATATTCAATCTCGTTCTTCCCAAATAGCTCCTCTCGATCAAACATCGAAAAGTCAAACCGCCCATGTCCAATTTTACAAATCAAATAAATCAAATATAAAAAAGGAATTCGCTGGCACGTTAACATTTTTTAGCAACGGCCAATCCAAGACGAACGCATCAACTAAAACTGTAGCTTATGGACAATGGCATAATATTCATGATACAAACCCATTAAATTATGAATTTGTCATATATAAAAATGGTGTTATGCATAAGGATTTATCAGTCAATATACAAAGAGATTTGGTAATTAAAAAAAATGAAGCCAAATTATTGACCACCTTTGATGAATTAGATTTAGATGGATCACAAAGTATTATTGGAGGATGTGTGTATTTAAGTGTTCGAGGTAGAATCATTTCTAAGGCCAAAATCTGCAAAGCTTGATGTTCATTCACATCAAGAAACGGAAGGAAAGCTTTTATATCATCGAAGGAATTAATTATGTTCTTGCACAAAATGTATTATATACTCCATTTTTAATTTTTGCATTAATAGTACGTGACATATATAAGATTCTCATTTTAGGTCTGCGACCAAAATGATTTAATTTTACACCCACGTTATATATATAAGAAAAAAATAACTATTTTAAAATTTAAAATTGAATGTCTTATATTCACATTAAATTCGTACATTTTTAGGATAGGATTTTCTTATTTTTCAAACTACTGAACGAATTTCATTGACAAATAGGCCAAAAAATTATTTAATTATATATAAATGTTGTTTTCTTTTATCTTGTTATGAATAAAAATATTTTTATAAATCATTTGCATCATAATATCTTCACATTGCTTATAACCCCAACCTTCGATGTTGAACAAGTCTCATAATATCATAGATTGATTAAAAATCACATTGAAATCAACTAAACATTTTAATTAAGATATAAATAATAATTATTTTGACAAACGAAATATCAAATAAGACACCTTTCCTGTCATAACTGATTATTAATTATTCAAAATTTGTTTTTTTTTGGAATAATACATATTTACTGTTCTTATCAGCTTTTTTTTTTTTATGATCAATGACATTATTGAAGTTAAAAAGAAAATACAAAAGTATATAAAAGTAAATATAATAGAAAAAAACAAAATACAACTATCTAATTAACAAAGAACTACTCCCCGTAATGCTATAGCATTTCACCATCCGTTTCGTTTGAGTTGACCTATCATCAATCACCCTTCCCTTCTTATATGTATCATAGGCGTAGAAAAATTATTCACCTGACTTCTCCAATACAACAAGTCGTAATGGTAAGGATTATTGTATTTTTTATTTTTTATTTATCTCTTGCAGTACTTACTACTTACATGTGATATAGATAAGCGAAAATCTTATGTGTGAGAATCTCAGATAGCAATAATGTTTATAGGATAAATTTGTTATGGAATTTTACTGGGACTCTCATTAAATAGAATCCGAGTACTCCTTCCCCCTTTAAAACATTACATTATAAAATTTGGCTTTGATTTTTCAGATAATAAAATTTATTTAACTATTATAATTATTCGTTTCTTTTACTTTTCATTATATTTATAACAAATATAATTTAATTAACTGTAAAATACACATATGCAAATAAGGCCATCCTTTACCGTACTTCTAAAACTACTTGTTGAACTTCATATAAATCAATGACATTATTAACGCCGACAACTGTACCAGGTACAAATACAGCATATTGTATAGGAACTCCTCTAACGATTGGAGGGTAATAGAAAACATCTGCGATTGGAATGGTCACTTGAAAGGCATTAAGATTCAAGGCATTGCGACCAGTAGGTGTTGGTGTATAATTATTATATTGAATGGTGCCGAAATCCCACTATCAATTGCAAAAATTCTTGTCCTCTGACATTCGATCATAAGAATATAACGGTATATCAAATATTACCTCTGTGACATAGACTCCTGCTCTTGCTAAAGTTGCATTTTGTGATAATACACCTTCTGCCCTGCTACATGTGTCCATAAACGAGCCTAATATTAAATAATATTTATATTATAATAAATAGATATTAGACGCCCTTCCTCATGATTTTAATGACAATGTCAGGTTAATTTCGGCCAAGTTCTATAATGGCGGTCAAAATGACGTGGGAGAATTTTTTTTGTGGTGATATTTGTATTTTTAATATTATATGAAAACTTTATGTTGACCTCAAAACCTATGAAATCAAGTCAGAATGTCCATACGATATTTATTTTTTTTATTTTAAAAAAAACCATATATTTATTTAAAGCTAATTAAATAAATCTTAGATTTTAGGCGTTTCTATTTTTACAAATTTTCTTGCTCTAAGTAAACCTTCATGATCAACTTTTCTCGCATTATTTATTTTTAACTTTCTCAAACGTCCGTTTCCATGCTTGATTAACGTATCTAAATGATCATTACTAAACAATCTACATCTCTTAAAGTTCAATACCTTCAAATTAGTTTGATCCTTAATATTAATTAGAAATTCTTTAAAGTTTTCGGGAGTAAAATATAAGCTCATCTTTAATGCAAACCTATTCATTGAAGATGGCATGGTTTTCCCGATTTCCGATAAATCGATATTAATAACTTCTATTTGGTCATAGGTATTAAAAGTGACATGTTCTAATCTCCGACAAGAGGAAAGTAATGATGGAATAAATTTGACATGCTCATCTATAATGGAAATCTTAAATACCTTTAAATTATGGCAATATGTTGCAATCAACGTTATTAAGTTCACCTTTCTTGAAGCGCTCAAAACATTATCCCCTCTAATATATAAGCTATGTAAATTCTGTCCAAAGATTGAAATAATTAAAGAATAATTCCCAAAAAAATCTATTTGAACACAATTTTCAAATTTAAGGTATTTTAATTTGGATTTGATCGGAAATTTACAAAGTTGATTGTCACCAACGGTAATGACATTTCCAAAAAATTTGCATTCCATAAATTGTAATTCTTCCAAATTTTTACAATTTACTAGATAATCCAAAGTACAATTATCATTTAAATTTATTAATTTAAATTTAATGCTTGTCAAGAAGGATACCTGAGAGTTAACGGCTTCATATAAATACTTATTCTCCGAAACCAAGAAACCTTGAATATTCAAATTCTTTAAATTCCTTTGTGATTTAATTAAATTCTTTAAATTGAAATATTTATACCCTCTATACCCTTCATTAAAATTAGATAACATTTCCGGAAATTCTTCTGTATTATAAAACGTGATGGTTTGAAGGTCCCTACAGACCTTGTAGCAATTAAATATTAAACCTGATAAGGCTATACCATAAAATTCAACCTCTTTAAGTGTGGAAAGGTTTTTCGCATTCGGGCATAAGAATAAATCCGGATATCCCGCATGATCAGCATTGTAATAATTGTTTGATGTGGTTTTTCCTTTTTTTCCCATGAAAAAAATAATCTTTGAAATATTGGTTGAATTAGAATTGAAATGATGAAATAATTTTTCATAAATTAGCTGATGATGCATTCTAGGAAAATCTTTTTCAATATATTGAGATAGCATTCTCAGGTTGAGAACTTGTATATATTTTGAATACATGGAGTGTGGATTGGAGTTGATTGGGATATTTGTAAAATCTTGAATGCATTCTTTTTCTTCAGGTGGAAGGCAGAGGAAAAGTGTTTCAATCAATCGTTTTGTATTTATTCGTGCTTTTGCTTGGAAAGGTTCTTTCCATAATTCTGGTAAGAAATATTGATTCCAATGACGATTTATTAAAGAACATCTATATAAACCAGATGGGTTATCTTTTAAAACGGTTGAAATTTCTTTCATACACAAGTCTGGAAGGTAAGAAACATTCATGTCGAAATCTTGGGAATCAAAGTGATAGAAACTTTTTTTTTTTTTTTGTAATAATAAATTTTTATATTAAAAAATGTTTTTATTTTGACAAGAGGAAAAAGAATGGTTCGGGAAAAAAACCTGATTTGGAAAAGTATTTATTCCATTATTTGCCGAAATCTCTAATTTTGGTTAATTTGATTTTGTGTACATGAGAAAATTATTTTTAACCAATTTATTTATTTTTTTTTGGAACAATAACGATAAGAAAATGGCAATTCTATCAAATTTTCAAAATTATTTTGAAACTTCTGATATCATAAATCTATCCATTATACTCATCATTTTATATATCTCACGTTTTTATTACAATTATTTTGCGCGCAACAATCCTTTACCTGGTCCATTTCCTCTCCCACTTATCGGTAATGCTCACTTATTTAAAAGGAATGAATATGGCGATTGGATCGTAAAGCAACATCAAAAATATGGCTCATTATTTGAAACTTATATATTCTCTCATAGGATAATTTACGTTTCAACCTTAGATATGATAGAGCCAATGATCAATTCATCTACGTTGAAGACCTCAAAATTCAGGTTACGATATGAGAAACTTGATAATTTGGAAGAATTTGGTACATCCGGTAAAGGGGTCGTATTTAATTATGACTTAAAATCATGGAAATATAATAAGCAATTTTTTATTCAATCTATCACATCTCATGGATTTTTAAGAGAAACTGTTAAAGAAACGAACAAGTTATTTAAAGAATTAGAAAGTTGTTGGAATTTGATTGGTAAAGAAGGATTAACGAGCGATTTCACTTATTGGACACATAGTTTCACCTCGGATTTAATCTTATTTATCACGACGGGAAGAAAAGGATATTGTATGGAAGCAAAATTTAATGAATATTATAAAAAATTCCATCAGAATCTTGACAAGAATGGAAATGATGACTCACATGAAGAAAAGATTAAAAAATGTTTGGATTTATTTCATGACATTGAATCTTTATTAGCAGGATATTCGTATTTTGTCATGTTCCCTTCATTTGTTAGGAATTACTTTCCAATTATGAAAAGTAAAACCAAATCTATTTTAGATTGTAGGGATAGAGTTTTTAATGGGATTTTACAAATAATAAACGAAAGAAGAGAAGAAATTGAACAAACTCCTTTAGGTCAACCCCTTAGAAATGATATGTTGACATCTTTTATTACGGCAAATACATCAAGGGATATTAGTGATATTCGACAAGTTGAAGAGGAATTTATGCGTCCCATGATCAATGATGAAATTCAAGTTAATCTGTTAGAAGCCATAACCGCAGGACTTGATACCGTAGGGAAACTTTTTCAAAATCTTTAATCATATAATTTTTCCTCTTTCTTTTAAATACTTGACACGTAATTCAACATTTTATTAGATGGCAAACACAATCGCGTTCACGGTTTATTACATATGTCAATATCCCGAAGTGAAAAAACGTCTTTATCAAGAACTTGAAGATGTGTTTAAGGATAATCCATCGCGAGACATCAATTATGATGACCTTTCAAATCTAAAATACGTCGAAGCGGTTATAAAGGAAGTAGCAAGAGTCCGACCAACAGTTTCGTTAGTTGATCGATTTAATGATGGTGGAACCGTGCAAATCGGAGGGTATAGTTGGCCTCCATTTACACATTTTAATATTAATATTTTAGCCATTAATAATAGTTCAAAAGTATGGGACGAACCGGATAAATTTAATCCTGATCGATTTCTCGTCTCAAATGAAGAACAACAATTTCAAAATCATTTCTTGATGTTTGGTGCTGGACTTAGAAGTTGTCCGGGTCGAAAGATGGCGATGATAAAATCCAAATGTTTCATTGCTTTGACTTTTAGAAATTATGATATTGAATTGATTGACAGAAATGCTCCTTTAAAGTATTTCTATTCTACAATTAATAGGCCTTATGATTTATTTGTTAAAATTGTTCCAAGAAACTTTAATAAATGATGTAACTATGACTTTTTTAAATAAAACTTATGTTTTTAAATAAAAAAGAATTTTTTTTTAGATCGTTGAGATGTTTTTATTTATTTTTGTCGGTTGTATTTTGCCAAAAGCAGTACTGAATTGCTTCAAGAAGTGAAATTCCATAAATATTTGAATATTTCGGTAAATTAAATAATCATCACTTCATTCGTTCATTATGAAAAAAAATGACTTTTTTTTGCATTTCTATAGTGCATATGAATATTATTCAAATCATGCGGGTAAATAGAATACCCGAAACAAATAAAGTTTAAATCAGATTATGCAAAATCAACCCTCATGACCTACCTTTAAACAATATGAAAAAAAAAACGCCCACTTAATATTCTCATGAAATTGATAAGTTATCGATTTTATCGGTCATTCAGGCGTTTTTTTTTTAGTTTTAAATCAAATATTTAAAAGTTCAGTCTTTTTTAGATAAATTTTTTTTCAGAGTGGAAATTATTGAAACATGAAGAGAATCATTTCAATCTTGATCACACTTTTGGTCTACTCTTTATTGCTCGGTGAATCGAAACCAACTCGTGATGCGGAATCAAACGTATTCATGAACATTGATGACAACATGTTGCCCCTCATTATTTCATCACACAATTCCGATAAGGCCGATAACAAGTACACGATATCTTCAGGCGGCCATAAACATCCCAAGCATCCTAAAAATCCAAAACATTCAAAACGAGCTTATGTACACTTTACAGATCCACCAGAATTGACGAAGGGTTTATTGATATTTTGGGAAACTAGAGAGAATACAACATTAATTTTTGGTCAATTTGAAAGTGGTTTTGTTGAAGGGAAAGAAAAAGACTATTCGTTTAAAGTGTTTAAAGGTAGCAAAGAAATCGTGGACTTAAAACCTGATAATGAAAGTTTAGATGCACTTCTCAAAATCAGACCAAATGGTTCCACGGATCCTTTCTTATTTAGTGTTAACACAACTTTAATTTCTGGTAATAATAATATTGTCAAAGGGGAAGTTGTTATTAGTAAACCTGATACTTTAATTGGAAAAAATAGAATTTTTGTTTTGCATTGTTAGGAAAACGTGGCAACCCCTTTCCTTTTCTTTTATATTTGTATATTTTGTTGTTATTATATAAATAAAATTTTATTATCTCGTGCTAAGGTTTGATTTTATTTGTTTTTATTTTTATTGCGGCAGCTCAAAAAATTTTCTACAGCGCCATTAATTCGAAATGAACTTTATTTTATTTTATTTATTTTATTTTTTTTTTACAAAATTTACATCAAAATTTTCATTTTTCATAACATCGTTATCTGCACCATTCATACATTATTCGTGTCTTTATGCAATTGCTTTGTGTACGCAGAATAGGTATCATCACCTACGCTAAATAATTCCATACCACTCGAAGCAATTTGAGAATTTACCAAAGGTTCCAAAAATTTAAATAAAAGTGTTCCATCTCTTGGATTATATAATTCAAGTAAGGGATGTAAAATCTTTTTAAAATCACTTAAAATTAAGACGCACGGAAACTTTGATAAGAATGATGATAGGATTGCATCATTTCTGCTTAAATCTGTGGCTAAATAAATGACGCGTGATGATGGAATAAAATCCAATTTACATAAATCGTTTGATGTTCCCTTTAAATCTTGAGGAATGTCGTTGAAGTAATTCTTTAAGGCCAACGTTAACCTTGTAAAAGATTTTTGTATAAATTTTTTGGAATTTGATGTAGAAAGAAATCTCGCGTGTACACCAACATAATTTCCTTTCCCTCCTAATTTTTGAACGATCTTTTTGGAGACATCTAATACAACAGGATTGTTCAATGTGAGAGAATTATCTATCATGTCCCAATATAATTGATCTTGGGGTGAATCTTTATCAATTAACCCTTTTCCTGATAAGCAATCAAAGGATAGCAGTTTCTCTTTATGTGAATGAATAGAATTCAATGATGATATCTTAAATTCACAGACATTTAGCTTTGAATTCGTAACGTTTAACATTTTTTCAAGTTTAACCTGATCAAAATCTCTTCTGTGTAATATGTGAATATTCTGTTTAATAAAATCCAAGTTAAATAAGGAATCCCAACGTAATAAAGAGTAAGAATCAAATTCATTCAAACAATTCAGATCGATTTCATATTTCGTTTCTTTTCGTTCAGGTTTTGTAACTTCTTTAATCGAGCATTCTGACTCGAGTTTATCTGCGCGAAGTGTATTTAACTTTTGACGTAATTCTTGGGGATTGATGAATTCAATATTTAATCCCAATATAATAGGAGGAATTACTAGAGTTCTATTTAGAAAATAGGCCAAGAAAACCGCATTTTCTAACTCTTCTCTTTGTTGAAAAAGGTTCCCATGAGGAGAAAATGTCATGAACTTTTCATACTTTGAATTGGAAGGGAAATAATCTTTATCATCATCTTCTATCAAAGAAATATTTGATTCGTTCTCCTCATAATCATCATCATCATCATTTAAATTATGTTGTGAACGTAGTAATATTAGAAGACTAATACTGAAAAGTATAATTATAAAAACCTTTCGTTTTATTGAAGGTAAGAAATGACCTTGAAAATAATTTTTTAGCCATCCTATATTTGTCGTTTTTGGTATATCATCGTCACGTTTTTGATAATTTGGTAAAAGCGACTCGTGTAGATTTTGACGCTCTTGTTCTTCGTAGGACATTTTTTTTTTAATTTTATTTTTTTAGTGAGGGAAAAGCCAATATATATAAAGATGCGGTGTTACCTATAATTGTAGTTTTCCTATCATCCAAATCAAGAAAAATCATACTAGATGAATAACAAATAATAACAATGATATCTCATACATGCTATAAATGTAGGAAATCATTATTAGATTTTAAGTTTTATTAATTTTTTTCGGGATATGCATTGTGCCTGAATTTTTTCCCTTTTTGTTCACTTGCATATTTTTCTGTTTGTTTCATCGAAGTGCAATATTTAAACTATCAACAAATTCATTATTTATAGAGGTATGCAATGTATATTTAATACATACCGTATTTCTCTTCTTTTTCAAGATACTAAACAATATCTTGTTTTTTTTCCCTTTTTATTTTTACATTAATTTCAGTTTAAAGTGTATTTATATAAATACAAACAAATGAATTCTTTCAGGGGTATGCAATGTAGCCTGAATAGGTCAAATTCCGTTTTCTCTCATTTGCATATTTACTGTTTAAAAAAAACTTTTTTTACCTTTTTTTTTAAAAAAAAAAAAATAAATAAAAATATGTATGACAATGACTAATGTTATTTTAACTACTGGTTTTGGGAAAATATTAAAAGTTTTTTTTCACTTAAAATTTTCAAGAGTGGCACGTGAAAGCAAAATTTTCGTCTGGGAGGTTGTTCTGATGAACTTTCGCGTCCTAATAAATGAATAAACAAACGGATTGCAAAAAATGTATTACAATGCAAGAAAAGACCGGGTAATACGTGGGAACAAAAGCCATTCGCTAAAAAAGCTTAATGTTGACTTATGTAATGATCCCGAGCAATCAAAATACTTTTCTAACGAAACGATTGTTACGTGACATGAGAAATTTTTTTTCGTGAAATTTGTTATAAAATACATCGGAAATTGTACACTCATCCTCTCCATCCCATTCAAACTTTCTTTTTCTTCTTTTTATTAAAAAATATAATAATAAAGAGAAGAATAGAAAAGAATAATGAGATTAATTCGTACTCTATTTATCACGGTGACTTTATTCGCGCATAATTTCCTCGGTGTGCTCTCAATTAATGATTATAATAATGATTGGCTCAGTTTTGGTGGTCCTGGTATAGATAATAGTCGCAATGCCGTTGGCGAAACAAAAATTTCTCCCGATAATGTTAATTCTTTAACGGTAAATGACATATATTTAATCATTAATAATGTATTTAAATTGTTTAAACTAAATACATCGAAAAATCTCGATTTCTCTTTTTAGATTAAATATGAGATTCCGACCGACAATTCGGTTTCAGCCACTCCTGTGACTTTCAAAAATAACGTTTATTTCCCTGATTGGGCAGGGTTTTTATATTCCGTCGATGCCAAAACAGGAACGATTAATTGGAAATTTAAGGTATCAGAGAAATATCTTCCACAACCGGCCGATCCAAAAGCGATAAGTCGGGATACTTTTGCGATTGATCCAACCGAACAACTTATTGTATTAGGCACTCAGAATCCTTTTGATGGAGGTAGCGGTTTCGTTATGGCAATTGATCTACAAGGTGAATTGGTTTGGATCACATTGATTGATGACCACCCATATGCTGGCATAACACAATCCCCCACAATATATAATGGTGGTGTGTATATTGGAGTTTCTTCATCCGAAGAGGAAGCCGCCGCTTTCAACCCCGGTTATGTTTGCTGCACTTTCCAAGGGAGCTTTGCTAAATTAGATTTAAAGACCGGTAAAATTATTTGGAAAACTTTAATGATCTGATAATCAAGGTAAACCCAGTTTGTATTCTGGAAATGCAGTGTGGGGTTCTGCGCCTGCTATTGATCCTATTAAAGGGTTGGTTTACATCTCTACCGGTAATAATTATGATGTAAGTATTCCCTTATCCTTTTGTGCTCATTTTCACTTTGATTTGCAACAATATCCTTTAATCTTGCTTGATTTTCCATCTTTGTGTTTTAGGTCCCACCTGACATTTTAGATTGCTTATCATCCACAAATACAACGGAAGAGATGTTCAAATGTCATGACCCTAAAAATTATATTAACACGATACTTGCCTTAGACATAAATAATGGTGATGTGATTTGAGCAGTGAGAACTTCCCTTTTGATAGTTGGACCGTATCCTGTAAACCTGGTTTGACAGTGCCTTATCCGGACAATTGTCCTAAACCTTCTGGACCAGATTACGGTAAATTATCTTCGCGTCAAATTTTCTGCATTTTTTGTTTGTATGATACTAACCCCTAGGTTTTAATAGATTTTGGCCAAGCTCCTTTGCTTGTCTAAGCATGTAAAAAGCATGGTTGTCCGTTACTTGCTATTGCAACCGCAAAATCCGGAATTACCTGGGCGATAAATGCTGTTACGGGTGAAATTTATTGGTACGTTGAGTCTGGACCGGGACGACTTGATGGTAAGTTTTTTTTTTTACTTTTGATGTACAATAAAAGGCGTTAATATTCCAAGAAAGGTTCAATTCATTAACTGAAATTTTAATTTAAAAACTTTTTAGGTGGTTCATTGTTTGGTTCTGCCACGTAAGTTTTCCGCTTTACTCAAATTCTCAAATATAAATGAATTTATTCTTTGATTGCAACAAACTAACTTTCCTATCCCTTTACTATTCATTATTTAGTGATGGGAAATGATATTTTGTATCACAATCCAATAGTAACAAAGACAATTACGTATTTAAAAAACCATCTCGTAACAGTCCACCTTCAACAAACGGGGGTGCATTAGTGGCAATCGATGTATTAACTGGCAAAATATTGTGGCAAACGGCGAATCCTACCAATGCTGGAGGAGCGGCTCCGGTATCTTATGCGAATGGTGTTGTTTGGTACGGTAGTAGGGATGATAGCGGTCATTTGTATGCTTTAGACGCCGAGACCGGTGATATTTTATATGATTTTATTACGGGTGGTACGGTCAGCTGTGGACCAAGCATTGTTGATGGTGTCGTCTTTGCTGGTAGTGGTTATCAAAGGTTTGGCTCTGAAACCATGAACAATAGAGTATATGTTCTATCACATTTGTAATTTTAACGTGTAAATCTAATTTGTATTTTTAAATTATTTCATGATTTATGCGTGGTTCTTTTTTTTTAAAAAAAAAAAAATATAAAATAAAAAATAAAATATAAATAAAATATATATTCCGCCAATTTTGTAAAAAATAATTTCGAAATTTCTTTTCAAGTGAGGTTAGGTGCCGGTTAATTAATAGAAGAAACAAATAATAATAATAATAATAACAATGGAAATTGATCAAAAAAACTAAAAATAAAAGAAAAAAAAATTTAACGGATTTTGTTTAATTCAAAGAAAGAGGATTACGACATATTCATCGAGATTTTTGTGCTCGCAAAAATCAATAATTTCACCAACTCATTTTAATCTCTTGCATTATAGGTCGGAAAAAAATACTTCTTCAAACGATATTTTAGATAGCCGTTATTATCATCGAACTCAATAAAATGGAAACCTTTAATGAATACTTCTAATACCAGCGGTTTATTTTATAATTCTTGGCCTATTTTATTCATTTGTTTAAAGAATATGAAATCATAAAATAATAAAATTCACGAGATTCTTTTGAGCGTGCTAAATGTTATGATGTAAGCTTTTTGCTCCTCTAAACCAGGGTTGAGAATTTTGTATGTACTAGATAAATTTAACACTGTACTTGTACTGATCTTGTACTAATTTTTATATTAATTATTATAATGTACTAACTGTACTAATCATTGTACTAATACTGTACTTCCCAACTCTGCCCTAAACTATATATAGACAATTTTGAGTTTACATTAAACTATTAAATATCTTTATCTAAATTTCTAATAGATTTTCCTAAACTCAATTAAGTTTTAAACAAGTTTCAGATTTTTTAAAAAAAAGCACTATATACGACATATCGTTATATAGTTATATAGAGGTTTGATTGTATTACTTTTAATCAATTTTTATATATTGTATATACAGTATATAAAGAGAGAAATAAAAAAAATTTTTTTTCATATTGAACAAAATTTATTTACATGAAATTGACCGCAGTAAATCTCTTGTAATACTCTTCAAATTTAAGTTTGCATTTATTGTTCTAATATATTAAAAAAAAAAGAATTAATAAAATTTAAATTATTTACTTTCCTTTAATAAAGAGAATTATATATTATAGTTTAATTTATCACGATTTAAATTTTTTAAGTTATTTAGCTTAGAGGTAGGACTCGAGTTAAAATGAGTTGACTCGAGTCATATCGAGTCAGGATGTTTATGACTCGAAAAGTGTTTGAGTTAAAATTCAAATTAGCATTCGAGTTAAGCATTCGAGTTGACCTTCGGGGTTAGTAAATTAAGTTTTATTTAATAAATAAATAGGTCATAATAAATTATATATTACAACATTATTATTTTTATTATTCCGGTAATTAATCCTTTATTAAAAATTATAACAAAAAAATATCATTACTAAAAAAAAATTGTAAAATTATGTTTCAA